AATTCATTGAAAGACAAAAATATACTACCTATTTCTGAATAAAATGAAGTAATCTTTATGTCCAAGGACAAATAGATGCCACATTAATCTACTACAGGATTACTAAGCAGGGTCATGAAGGTCAGTTTATTGGACACCATATACTATGATTCAGCAATTTTTATACTGTGACCCCTTAAACATTTTGTTGGTTTTCGCTTTTTTGTTTGTGTGTTTGTTTGACAGGGTCTCCCTGGTTCCAGCCTGCCTGGAAGTCACTGTGTAGACCAGGCTGGCCTTGATCTCACAGAGATCCGCCTGCCTCTGCCTCCCAAGGGCTGGGAATAAAAGTGTGCCTCACCACATCTGGCATCTCTTAAACATTTTATACCAAGGAACCTGAAGCTACTGTGATCTGTGTGATCTGCAAAGGACCTACAGGCAGTGAAGGGACAGTTCAGCCAGAAGATGCACAAGCCTTAGTCGGGCAACTGAGGGCATTAATTTAGTTTGCAGTCTTAAAGTATGCTATCCTTTTGTTTGGAAAGTGCAATTAAAAGTAAAAAATAAAGTGGCACTCAAAGTCCATTTGCACACACAAGTAAGTGCGTACTAAAATTATACCTCAAATGTGATTACAGAGAGGGGAATGAACCAGTAACTCCAGAGCAAGAAGAAAAATATCTCATGTTTTCTCTCCTATGTGGAATCTAGATGTATATGTATGCATGTATGTCATCTAGATGTGTGTGTACATGGGTATGTAGCTGTCATAGAAGCAGAAAGGGGACTGGGGGGGGGGAAAGCGGAACAACAGAGGCCGATGAGGTGCAGATACAAGCAAAGCACAAGGGTACATGTGTGTGGGAATGCCATAAAGAAATCCAGCAGTTTGAAAAAATTATGTAAAATGCAAAAGATCTGATTGCATATAAATGGTAGAGAAATAAATTATCTATTTTTATTCTTAATAGCTAAGTAGCAGACTTACTTCTGAAGTAAGCCGCATAAAAGAATTCTTTTTCTTTTGGGGGGAAAAATAACATTTTCCAAAAATACTATTGAGAAAAGACTGCTTTCTAGAAAAACAGGTAGGATGGTTATACATATTCAGGTAGTATAATATTATAACAAAGACTTTTGCTGGAAATAAAGCAGTAAATATATTAATCTCAATAGTGATTATCTCTAGGTGGCAGGACTGTAAGTCACTTCTGTTTTTCTTCTCACAGACTTTCTATTTTTAAATTTTTACAATCTTTTCCTACTTTTATATCTGAAAAGTTATTTATTTATTTTTATTTTGTGTGTATGAGTATTTTGCCTGCATGTATGCAAGTGTACCACATGCATGCAATAGCTGAGGAGGCCAGAAGAGGGTGTCAGATCCCCTGGAACTTGAGTAGCTACAGATGGTTGCTAGCAGCCATGTGAGTGCTGGAAACCAGACCTGGGTCCTCTGCAAGAGCAGTCAGTGCTTTTCACTGCTGAGCCATTTCTCCAACCCCCTAAAAAAATTTCTAACATACATGTATCTTCTCTAAGGAATGGTCCATATTTCTAGTGATCATTCCTTGGCCTCAGTTTTGACAAGGTAATTTTCTTAATGGCAAAACAAAGATCTCAGCTGTAAAATAAAAAGATGAATTTTCCTAGAAGGAAAAATAAGCTACCATCCATCAACAAGTCTTAATGAGTCAGAGGATAATCCTCTGGAAGCCAGGCTGTTTTAAATTTCTACTGCTCTGAAGTTTAAACAGAATGCTGAATTTTTTAAATATCTGTAAACTTTAGACATATGTGGTCTGTAGTAGGGCTAGAAAGTGAGTGGCTTTCCTTCCTTTTTGGCTCTGGATCAAAATGCTTATCACTGCTGGTTCAAAGAGCAGGCAACGCCGGAAAAGAGAAGCTGTGCGGTATCCTAGCTAGGAGTATTTGGGGGTGGCACTGAGTAACACCTAATAGTCAAGCAGGTGTTTCTAACCAATGCAGAGAATGAGTGAGGCTAACTGGAAGTTGCTATCAGTAGGCCTCCCCTGGACTTCTGCCAGAATGAAGCAGGCAGGAGGAATATTGAGGGAGAACTGCTGGGTCACGAGAATGGGATCTTGCATGCCTGTTACTTTCCACACATCTATGGCATCTTTTAATCTTCACAACATTGTGACCCCACTTTACAGATGAAGTGGTGAGGTCCATAAAGGTGGGTGACTTAGTTAAGATCACATTCTGAGTATATGTGGTCATGGAAGGGGTCTAACCTTGACTTTCAGGCTTAGTTACTCTGGGAGAGAAGATAGTAAACTGTCAGTGAGACCATGAAGTAAACATGTTACCACCTCTGCCCCCCCCCCACATGATGTCCATTCCCATTTCAAATAGTCATAGAGGAGCAGTCTTACATAAAACTCTTCAGATGCTTCTGCAGGTCCCGGAAGTAGAGAGGCCTTCGGTGGCAATTTGAGTTCATATGTCATTATACTCCACCTGACAGGAGAAAATTCGTTGGTCTAAATTTCTTTAAATTTTAAGAAATTATTTACGTCTCAAATGCGTGCATACATTTGTTTGTAGACTGGTTTTACTGTATCTTAAAGCAAGAATGAGGAAAGAGATGGAATTGTGACAAACTCATGAAATACCGGATTCATAGCTGAGTGGCCTCCAAACATTTCAACACCAGGCCCGTGAGGAATGCTCCCATGTACCACAACTTACTGTTCTTTATTCAGTGCAAAACATTCCAGCTTTTTAATTTTTTTTCTGTTCTATTTTATATATAATTCTCATTGCAAAGTACTGACTAGATTGTACGTTATTAATGGACTACAACCCAAAGTTCTAAAACAATGTCTTAGATTAAATAAATGCATACTACCTCTGAAAAGCAAACCACTCATCATATAACAACCACTCTTGCCATGTGTATGTGTGTGTGTGTGTGTGTGTGTGCGTGTGTGTGTGTGTGTGTGTGCGTGTGAGAAATAATATGTGTGTGTGCGTGTGAGAAATGAAAATGAGGTAAGCACTCCTTAACTTAAAAACGAGTAAATGTGAGCATGGGGTGGAGGGAAAATATTTTAGAAATAATACTTAATTCAAGAAAAATTATTTCAATTGGTACTAAGTAGTGATTCCAAATGTTTATTCATTTGTAAAAGCCATCAACTCAAGATAATTCCAGTCTTCTACTTCAAAATTTGGGGAAAATGATGGGCCAGGGCATTATTACAGACTAATAAGATGAGAGACAAAGATTTTGTATAGGTACAAAGCATTATAAAAGCAGTATAATAACACATGAATTTTACAAAAAGCTGATGCAAACATAAACAACTAAAGCTGATAATAGAACCTAGAGACAAATCCTAAAATCAGTATTTAAACAGATCCTAGAGTATCACTCAGACTAATGAAAAACTTCCCTCAAATGATCTAAGTTATATATTAAGAAACGTGAACTGAACAGTAACTTGTGGCTACTATTCAGTTCTTGACATGAAAATATTATAAGGGCTGGAGAGAGAGAGCTCAGGGTATAAAGCCTGCAAAATCATGATGACTGGAGCTTGGATCCCCAGAACTATGTAAATGCCAGCATGGTGGCCAGCCTGTATTCCAGCCTAGGAAGACAGGGACAGGGGATCCTCACAGCAGGCTGACTAGCAAGACTAGTAATATCAGCAAGCTCTGAGTTTCACTGAGCTGCCACAAAGAATAAGGTGGGAGAGAAATTGAGGATGATGCCCCAACATTGACCTCAGCCCTCTACAGGCATGCACACAGGCATGCACACAGGCATGCAAAATGAAAACACATACACATGATAAATGGAAAAAGGCAAAAGAGGAAATATTGTAAATGAATAACATTGTATTTACATCCATCCATCCATCCATCCATCCATCCATCCATCCCATCCCATCCCATCCAACTATGCAACAGATAAGTATGAACATCTCAAAATGAAAGACACGGTGTAAACACACAAGAAGACAGTTTCCCTAATGAAGTACATAGTCTAGCACAAAAATAGGAATAACACAAGTAATCAATTAAATCTGAAAATATCCAAATAAAAGAAAACTACAATTAAAAACATAAAATGTAACTTTGATCATATCAAGACTGCCTGAGCCTTCTTGGAGTGAAAATATAGATGGCTTCGCTCTTCCAGGAGTGGAGTGAAGGCGAAATCAAATGAGCACAGCAGAAGAACCAGGAGAACAACCTGAGTTTTTCTTATTCTTCTCCAAAAGCCTCAGTCTAGATCTTTGTAAAATAGTCATTATATAATATACACATAATCTTAAAATTACTAAGGTCATAGTTTTAGTCAACTAGTTTAAGGAACAAAATATATATCCAGTCAAGGTTTATCTAAGAATATTTGTTTTCTTTTACCCAAGCTTTATCTATATAGCACATAGTAATTAAAAGTACCAGACTGGTGGAACTAACCTTCTTGGATGTTTAACAGTCATACTTTGAGGCCTACACTAATTTGGTCAGAGGGACTTAAGGACAGATTTTGCTTCTTGCCCTCCAAGGTTGACTAAGTTCCAGGTGACTATGGAACATCTCTCAAAATGTCCTGTAACTGTGGTGAGTCACCTGTTCTCTTGTTCAGGGAGGACATGGAGACTAAAACCAGATGGACTTGAAACAGTGTCCAGTCAACACAAAGGAAACATTTCCTCCATGCTTCCAAGGGAAGCCAGCCACCAGTTAAGCAGGACCTTTGACTGATCTTCACATAGACGGAACTGGTAAAAGAAAGGAGCCAGGGGCTCCTCCCAAGCCCATGTGACCCCTGAGGAACAGATCCTCAAATGACCTTAAGAGTAAAAATAAATTGGTTTATTTGGGCCAACTGTATGGTCTTAAACACCCAAAAGGAAAGTATAACCAAAGATTAAAGTGATCAGTATATTTCTTTGAGAGTTCAAGGGATTACACTTCCCAGACATTAAACTTAAGTCCATATAAAATGTTAGACAATTATTTCTCATTGATGATTTTGTTTCTAATCACAAAGTACTGCTCAGATGTAAGACTTCAAATCTTGGTCTGCAATACTGTAGTACCAACCTGTAGCTAAAGGAGACAACCCACCATTGTTCTAAAATGATGGTTAAATTTGTTTTCTCCCCCTATCTAGAAGCCTTTGCGAGGGAATTGACACTGATTCTAACCACTCCAACAGATATCAAAGTGCCTGAAAACAAATCCTGAGTCCATCACTCTGGAGTCCAGCCTGGCAGACAAAAGAAAAATGAGGAGGAACCCAATAGAGGGATGCTTTGGAAGCCCTTGTCAAGAAATCCCAATGGACTCTGATATGAGCATTTGAAATTTGCCCTATTTTGACTTTTTTCTGGTTCCCTGTCTAGAACTTGTAATGCCCGTACTTCTCCTTCACATCTCCTAGGCACCAGTCAAGGATTTTCTTTCCTCCCTACAGTTAAGAGTTATGCAATTTCGAAGTTTTTTTTTTTTTTAGATAGTCCCACTAAGGGGCACCCCAATTGCCTCCCCCTGCATCCCTGTTCAGCATGGAAGAAGCCAGAGAGGTCTGTGCCCTGATTCCCTATCTGCAATTTGGGTAATCTCTTCAGGGTATAGTGTGATAAGAATAGGAGGTAGGACTTGGCTAGACAGGGTAAAAAGACCCCAAAGAAAAGTAGACAGTTTCTTGGCTAAAAATCAAAATGTCCTTGGGCCTCTTAGCAACATACTCTGTTCCAAAGGCCAAAAATGTCAAAGGTATTTGGGAGCTCTCATCTAATCTCTAGAAGATTTTAAGGTTACCTCTTCAGAGGGGGTAATATTAGAGTAGCAAAAAGCCCCATTTAAAAAAAAAAAAAGGAGTACACAAAGTTTTTCAGGAAAAAGTGATGGGGAGATATGGGAGGAGTTGGAGGAGAGGTAGTGGGCATGGATTTGATCAAAATATCTTATATGCATGTATGAAATTCTCAATAAATTTCTTAAAGTTAAAAAAAAATAGTCATGGGGCTAGAGAGATGGCTCAGTGGTTAAGTGCACTGACTGCTCTTGCAGAGGACCTGGGTTTGAGTCCCAGCACCCACATGGTGTCTAAGAACGGTCTTTAACTCCAGTTCCAGGGGAACCTGACACCCTCTTCTGACCTCTGCAGCATTGCCTGACACAGGTGCACTTACACACATGCAGGCAATATACTCATACACATAAAATAAAAATATATAAATAATTTTTAAAAATAATAAAATAAAATAAAAAATAGTCATAATAATGCTTCTGTGAGTCAAGTCACAGTATAGCTTTAAAGTTCAAATAAATATGAATGAAAAGTCTACATATTAGCAAACGTTATGCTTGTTTTTCATTCTTTTTGAGGTGCTAGGGTCACCTGTTTTTCACAAACAGTGAACTAGCAGAGAAGACAAAATATGAATCTAATAAAGATCCCCTTCTCCCTTGTTCTGTTTTGGGCATGCCTGTAGGCATCAAGGAGTTTCACCACAGAGGTGCTGTTTCTCACCTAACCACTTGGAGGAATGACTTTCTATAAGGCATTTCCTAGGATGCATTGAGATTGGCCTTTAAATCTGTCACAAAGAAAGCACTTAAAATATTCTGTTAAAGCCAGCAAGATGGTTCAGTGAGTAAAGATGCTTGCCACCAGGCCTAATGACCTGAATTTGATCCCCAAGACCCACATAATGCAAGGAGGCAACTGACTCTAAATTATCCTCTGACCTCCACACTTGCGCTGTAGCCTGCTCAGGAACACACACACACACACACACACACACACACACACACCAAACATTTAAAATACTCTGTTGTTTGGTAAGCAAAGCATTGGACAGTATGGAAAATTACAATTGAACTCCAATTTTTTTTAAAAGTCCAATTTATTTCATTCAAATTCTTTCTTCTCAGTTTTACTTAGGTATAACAGACAAAAACTATGCATTTAAGATATCCAAGATGTTTTGATGTACATAAACACGATGAAATGAGTACTACACCTATCTATAATCACACTGTTACCTTTTTTCATGTGTATATACATACATATATGTATGTATAGCTAGAGATTATATATGTGGTGCATGTGTATATGTGTGCATGTTTGTGTATATGAGTTCAGGCGTGCATGTGCCACAGCATGTGTGTGGAGGTCAGAGGACAAGCTAGGGTGCTGGTCCTCACCTTCCACCTTGTTTGAGGCAGAGCCTCTTCGTTCACAGCTTCCTCTGCCAGGCTGGCTGACTTGTGAGCTTCTGGGGACTGTCTTACTCCTTCCTCCCATTCTGCCATAGGAGCCCTGGGATTACAGACCTGGGCTGCTGCATCTGACTTTAAATAGGTCCTAGGGACTCAAACTCAGGTCTTCACATTTGCCCAGCAAGTGTTTTACCCACTGAACCGTACCCTCAGCCCCCACCTCCTCTGTCTTTTTTTCTCTCCTTCCTTCCTCTCTCCCTCCCTCCCTTCCTTTCTAACCTCCAGGCTCTTTTAAGGATTAGAGACTGAATCCAGTTCCACCCCAGATTATAAACCATATGGCCAAACTAGTAAGTGTCTCTCCTTCTTGCACTTTTGGATAAATACGGGCTAAGTTCTATGATCCAGCTCTCTTTTTCAATATGCTGTCAGCAAAAGAATCAGAGCATTACAACATTACAGTATGACAGACAAGGTTACAATTACTGGGGTTATAGCTCATCTTTGGGTAATTACATTTTCCACTGGCGGCTCCCTGATGAGATTTTGTTATTTTCAGGAAGAGTTCCACAGATGGCTAATCTTATCAAAGTTGTTTTGATTCATGCTAGTTTGAGTCTATAATGATATTTTGACATTTGTCTTGTACTCATGGGGGTGGGGTAATTGCTGCTTACAGAATCCTGTTATTCCCTAAATCCAAATTCTAAACACCTTTGCCACAACAATCAAGCCTATACAGGGTGATTTCTGTTTTTGTTTCATACATAGGTCATTCCGGAGAGAAAGGGAAGGAGAGAGAAATGGACACAGAGACAGAGAGAGAAAGAAGAGATGTGATCAAGAACAATGTAAATACAGTGACAGTTCCTTCACTTTCACATTTTCAGATGTCTTTCTAATAATTCCCTGTCTCTGAGGCAGGATTCTCTAAAACTGATAATGTCTTTCTTAGCTTTCCTGAAATGCTAAAATGATAGGAGTCTTACTATTCTAGTCATCAAAAGCTTCTCACTGCAAAATTAACTTTAAAAAGTATTTTATTTATTATTGTTTCGTTTGTTTTTTTTTCAGTATTTTTGAGACAGGGTCTCCCTGTAGCCCCAGCTGTCCTGGAACTCACTATGTAGACCAGGCTGGCCTTGAACTCACAGAGCTCCGCCTGCCTCTGCCTCCCAAGTGCTGGGATTAAAGGCATGCACCGCCACGCCTGGCTTATTTATTATTTTTATTTTATGTGTATGAATATATTGCCTGCATGCATGGAAGTGCACCTGTGTAATGCAAAAAATTAACTTTTTAGCTTTCCTTTTTAGACAGTGATTAAAAGCAACTGGTATCACTGGGCATGGTGCTGCATACCTATAATCCCAGCACAGAGGGAAGCTGAGGCAGGAGGTCTCAAGTTGAGGTCAGTATGGACAGGGTAAGACCCTAGCTCAAAACCAAAACTAAACAAAAATTAGTACCAGTAGAATCTTCTATATTTAAATTAATTCACTGGAATCCTTTTTGTCATTCATTCATTCACTCATCACTAAGCACCTTTATTGAGTGTCTACTTTGTGCAGGCTCGGTGCAGGATCTCAGAGATCACAAGACCAGGAAGTTCCTTCATTACAGAGTGGAAATCAAGCTTCATAGGATGTACAGTTAGTAAAATGAAAGCTATCAAAAAGTGACTTCAGAGTGCCATTTTCTGTCTTGTTTTAGAGGCAAATTTTCTTTTACCTGTCCAACATTTTGGTACTGGCTCGTTCCAGCTTCTCTAGTATCTGAGGAAGTTGAGTGTCATCATCGTATGAACCTCCCCAGCCAAGTACTCGAGCGAGATCGTTGCCAGTACCCAAAGGCAACACCCCAAGCTGGCACTGCAAAAGAGCACAACAGTGATACTTTCAGACACGTTGAGAACAAGGACCTGGGGTTCAAGGCTAGCCTAAGCCATAAAGTGAGTTCAAGGACAGCCTGGGCTACAGAGCAAGCCTCTGTCTCAAACAAACAACTGAATTAGCACTTGCCTGTTTATTCAAGTTCAGCTTATCGATCTCTGACAAAACCCAACCTACACTTCCATCTCCTCCACAGACAAGAATCCGAAAGTTGTCAAACTTCTGAAATAATCTTAAACTGAAAGTAAAACATTTGTTTTTAGTATAAGCATATTTAAAAAAATACTTCTCCAATTCTTGATCATTTTATTCACTATTATTAATGTTCAGATTACATACAATAATTTTTACATATTAATTGTACTTTAAAAATTAACAGGTATAATTGTTAACTAAAGAAAAATTTTGATAATAAGACAGTGAGGAGTTATAGAGCAAAAACAGATAAACTAGAAGAAAAGGAGAATGAAAAACAAGAAAAACAAACAAAACAAAGCAGAATCAGGACACACAAGGAAAGGAAAGTAACACAAGATGGCGAAGCAGAGGTTTTTCTCTGTCCATCATAAGGATGTGTCATTTCCATTCGAGGGACAAACCAAAGGAGGGTATCTCAGAGGTGGTGGTAACACCAGGTGCCAACAGCGTTCCTACAGACACAGCCTTTGGAGTCCTCAGGTCTCCTCTCCTCCTCTCTAACTCAGCCATTCCTTTAATCTCTGTCCCTCTTAATGTAAACTTCTGAGATGTTCCACATCCTCAATACATCCTGGCAAATCTGAGTACTGTGGAACAACCTCCAGGAATTTCACAGAGAGATGCTTAGAAGTTTAGAAAACGAATGGCCCCTCCACTGGACCTCTATAGCAAAATCATACACAGGCACTCAAAAGGGGATAAAGTGTCTCAAGGGCTATTTCCCCCCAATGAACGGCTATGTAGCAAATCTTATAGTTCAGGTTTTAAGTTTTTATGACACCACAGAAATCTCAAAAGTATAGTTAACATTAGGTACTTTATCATTTATCTGAAATCCTTCAGGAACTGTCCTTAAAATCCAAGACAGTAGTACCTACATTGGCTAAGTCACTGACTGTGTGTATTAAATATATATCAGAATTAGTTCTCTGTACAAATAATTTTCTTTTTAAATTTATTTTATGTACATGAGTGTTTTGCCTGCATGTATGTAAAGCGTACCCACATCATGTAATGACCACAAAGGCCAGAAAAGGGCATTGGATCCCCTGGAACTGGAGGTACAGGTGGTTGTTAGCTGCCATGTGGGTGGTAGGAAAAGAGCCCAGGGTCCTCTGGGTAAGCAGCCAGTGCTCTTAATCACAGAGCCATCTCTGCAGCCCCCAAAATAATTTTCTAATGTTAGTTTGTATTTTACATCTTTTGCAAGTTTATCTTTCTTAGAGCTATATAGTATTTGTTTGATGTATAATATATTCTTAAAATATTTTCTATATAAATTTTAAATTTTTGATAAGTTTAGAATATGAAGAAGTTGTATAATATCAAGTAGGTTGTGTTCAAATGTGTAACCAGGACTTTAAGTTGGAGATACAGCTTAGTCAGGGAGCACTTGTCTAGCATGTGTAAAGGCACAGGTTTGATCGCCAGTACCAGGAAAAACAAACACCCAACAAAACTTGATGAAGCTTGAAGAAAGGAAGGAGAGCAACACAGAGATGTCTAGTGGAACCTGTGATTTTTATGAGCTGAAAGTAGGCACATTTTATGCTTAGAACGGCATTTTACTCAAGTAAGATGTATCAATAATAAATTACCCTAAGTGAGGGCCTCCATTCATTAAATCAAACACCTGAGCTGGATTGAGCAACTGTTTAAAACGACGAAGGAACTTCACTCCCTGATTGTCCCCACTCTTAGAATTGACGAACACTAAGAGAGGACTAACACAGAATGAGAATGTTGCTCTACAGAAACCTGCAAAAAAGAAAAACACATAGGACAAGATTAATAGGTACATCCTTCTCTTTTAAATTATTAACAGACATCTAGAGAAAGGAAGATAAATTGGCAGAAATAAAGAGCATTGTTTATTGCTGGCACATTGTTATAATTAAATAAGGTTACCCAAATAAAGCTAGATTTACTGTTTACAAACTAACAATACAAAACTTTTAAAAAATATTCTCTTTAATGAGAAATCATACCAAAGATGGTAAAATTATCAGTAAAGATTACTTGAAATATACCACTTGCCTTAACAACAAATCTAATCTATGAATACACAGTTCTCAAAAATTCATGTTCATAGTATTTTATAATATTTTAATTATTCTTTGCAGAGGCCTGAGAAAATATTTTAAAACTTGTAATAAATAAAGGAAATGGTATACCAGGGATTGGGAGAACTATTAATAGCACAGACTTAGAGGAATCACATCCCCTGAGCTTTACAGCCACATACACAACACATACTAAAAGTTTGTAAAGCATAAAGAACTGTCAACAATGGAGGACTTTAATCAAAATATGCAGTAAAAGTTTCTTATAATATGGTTTGCTTAGAAGGAAGTTAGAAGTACATTGTCCCCAAACTAGCGTTGCTCCTGGTATAATGGCAATATGCTTTTAATCCCACATTCAGGAGGCAGCCTGGTCTACATAGTGAGTTTCAGGACAGCTGGGGCTACAGAGAGACCCTGTCTCAAAAAACCAAAAAGCAGTAAAACCAAAACCTAGTGTTGTAGAAAGTTTCCTCAGCACTTACAATTAAGTCTTGTAAGATTCTAGAAACAGTAAATGCATTCGGATGAATATAAATTCCTGCAATGAAATTACAGGAAAGCACATTTTAATAGGGGGACAAGCTAATGGGCAGTTTCAACCGTGGTGTGAAAATACATACAAGAATTAACCTTTTAAGACTCCATTTCAGTACAAAACAATAATCTTACTTTACTTACTGGTTTGTAAAACAAATATTGCAAGCCTTATACCTGATATTTTGGCCAACGTTTTAATAGCTGGACTACAACTTTTCATTTGAAATATCCATTGGCATGTAGCTCACTGATAGGGCACGTGCCTAGCTTTACAAGACCCTGAGTGGGTTTGATTCCCAGCACACACACAAAAAAAGTAAATTCTTTAAACAAATGAATATACTTTTTGGCATTTTAAATGAAATTAACATTTAAAAACTGACCAGTTTATTTACGGTAGGAAATTAAATCAGCATTAAATATACCAGAAATATACATACTTACACTACTGCTACGTACCATCAGAATCAGTGCTATTTAGTGCAATTGGAGGTATGATAGATACTTTACACTGGCCAAGTGGACATACAGGATGGTACAAATCTTTACAGGCGGTGTGTACCTAATAACAAATAAATAAATCTTCAAGAATCAAAAAAAATTAATGTCTGGCTGTGTTATAAATCACATTTACAGAACTGATCATTCAGGATCAATGTCATCATAAAATGTACAGAAGTTAGGCAGGCATGGTGGCACATGCCTTTAATCCCAGCACTTGGAAGACAGAAGCAGATGGATCTCTCTGAGTTCAAGGCCAGCCTGGTCTACATAGCAAGGGACAGGCTAGTCAGAACTATATAGTGAGACCCTGTCTCAAAGTAAAAACAACAACAACAAAAATGTTCAATAATTAATAAATCACTTAACGGCACAATATTTACACCTGGAAGGAATAGATAACATCTTAAGTAAGGGAGTTCGGTCTGTGTACTCTGCTTCCATGATTGTCTGAAATAAATAATTATACATGGTGGTGAATGCCTGATGATGACAAGGGTAGAGGAAGAGGTGAGAAGGAGCAAGAGAAAGAGAGAAAAGAGAAGAAGGGACAGAGAGGGAGGGAGGGAGGCATTTATCTTACAAAATTTCTCACAGAATTTAATGAAAATAAAGAAGTTTTTAAATAATTTATATAAAATTTAATAGTTCAAATTACGTCAGTGCACAGCCTACTGAACTTGGCATTCTGTCAAAGGATGGTCACACACACACACACACACGCACAGCTACAGCAAATTACATTTTGAGTATCTGCAATAATCAGGTGGCATATCAGGAAAAGGTTTTCAGAGAGCACCAGGTAGGTTTTTTTTAATACCAGAAAAGAATAAATTACAATGTGGTAAAACCAATGCAGGAAAACAATAAACTGTGGGAAGGGAATCATAAGACACAGGAAATCCAGGAACACAAGCCACTGTACAAACAGGACATTTGAAAAAAGGACCAGGGACAGAAATAGGCCAAAAAAAAAAAAAAAAAAAAAAAAAAAAAAAACAAACCCATGGCCACCCTAGAGGGAATACACTTCTAAAATAAATGCCATTATGTCACAATGGGGGGGGGTGTGCAACCAGACTGTGCTTTCAAAATTATTTGCTATGCCTCTGAACCATATAAGAGACCAAGTTAGAGAAAGATGCTAATTTAAAAGGATGGAATAGGGGCTGGAGAGATGGCTCAGTGTTTAAGCTGCTCTTGCAGAGGACCCAGGTTCGATTACCAGCGCCCACATGGCAGCTAACAACTGTCCATAATTCCAATTCCAGGGGGGCCAACACCTTCTTCTGACCTCCGAGGGCATTGGTCGATAGGGGTGCTCTTACATACATGCGGGCAATACACTCATAAAAAATAAAAATAATAAATAAGCTGGGCATAGTGGCGCATGCCTTTAATCCCAGCACTTGGGAGGCAGAGGGCAGGCAGATCTTTGTGAGTTAAGGCCAGCCTGGTCTACATAGTGAGTATAAAAATAATAAATAAATAAATAGGAATGGAATAATTCCAAACTCTCACCATTGTTTTACACCAAAGGCATTTCCAATCTTGCAGACGGAGAACACTGCCACATGTTTTGTCACAGACCACGCACTTGGCACTCACAGGCAAGTTGCCTTCAAGCCACTGGTGAGGCATGGCAACCTATGGATAGGAGGAAAGGCAGTAAGAGTGAAGCCTGAGAGGACAGCATCCTGATACTGCAGAAGATATGAAGTGACTTCTTAGTCTACAGAGTCAATCACATGTATCATGTGAGGTAGTCACTCATTTATTTATCCCACATTACATTCAGGCATCCATCCTGCCTGAATCCTGTAAGTATACAGGGATAAGACAAAAGGCCCGCCTTTTGAGAATCAGTAGAAATCTAAATGAGGAGAAAGGCATGCAAACGGGTTATAAGATAATGATCTTTAAGGGATTCCTATGCAAGATGTAATAGAAGCTGGGTTGAAGGTGGGAGCACTGTTGAAAGGAAGCCCCAGAGTCTGCAGAGTGAGCGCCTCAGCTAAGCCTTAAAGCACAGAGCTGTGACACCAGCCCAGCCCAACAGCCACTCCTAAGCCTTGTAACATCAGGTTTCCCTTATAGATCAAGGACTTGGGTAGGCTATGAACTCACAGTCAACTAGCACCTGCATGTAGCCCACATAATTAACACTCCCACTTAACTCTCTGTCATTATGCTCCCAAAGAGCAGAAAGTAAGAGAGATGCAGGAAGGAGCAGGGCCACGGCAGCTTACACCATCTTCGTCCTCTATGATGTCCTTCCCAATGGAGGCCAGTGTAGTCCATTTGCAGTTATTTGTTGCCCTCACTGCACATCTTTTGTGAGCCTTGAATTTACATACTAAAAAAAAAAATCATAAGTTAGCCATTGTAAACAAGTGCTTTTAAGTGAAGGAAATTATAGTGTTAATTTTTTTTTTTTTTTTTTTTTTGGTCTTTTTGAAGCAGGGTCTCCCTGTAGCCCCAGCTATCCTGGAACTCACTACGTAGACCAGGCTGGCCTTGAACTCACAGAGATCCGCCTGCCTCTGCCTCCCAAGCGCTGGGACTACAGGCATGTGCTACCACGCCCGGCTTAGTAAAATTTTTAAAGGATGTGGAAGGAGGAGGAAGGAAAACAAGTTTGTTTTTGTTTTGTTCTTTTATTTTGAGACAAGGTCTCCCCGTAGTCCCAGCTGGCCTAGAACTCACTATGTAGACCAGGCTGTCCTCAAACTCACAGAGATCCACCTGCCTCTGTCTCCCAAGTGCTGGGACTAAAGGCGTGTACCACCACGCCCGGCTCAAAAACAAGTATTTTTTTAAAAGTTTAAGTTCCAAAAATACTGATAGCAATTTAAGAAACTAATTCAACACAATCAAAATAATTCAATAACGTGTAAATATCAAATCAGAATGGTGCCACAGAAAATTTAGACTTGTTTCATACATATATGTGTGTATATATTAATTTTTTGCATTTTTTGAAATATAAAGCACAGTTGGGGCACACCAGATGACCGTTACTCAGATCGAAATGAGCCTTTTCGGGTCAGTAAAGACAGAAACCAATTATGTTCGAAAACATTGTCTTAAATAAGAAAAGTGTTTAACGGCTTCTCCAAATTCTCACTTTTATGAATTTTAATCCATCAGGCCTGTGGTACACTCTGGAAATTTTCTTAAAGAGCAGTTACAAACTTCTAGAACTTATGTAGTTTCAATGTATGTACCTTTAATTTTTCAATGATTCTATGACGTGTAAATGACTATTATCCACATCTGACGGAAGTCTAAGACCTCTAAACCACTCCTGAGTAACAGTCTGAGCTGGCGGGAGAGGGAGACAGTGCAACCTGTAGAGCTCTGTTCCCACCCGATACAGCATCCCCGTGCAGCATCACAGCCAATGGCTGATAGAAGTACAATTACAGATTTTATCATTTAAACGCATTCCAACCGAGAGGCCATTGCTGCTTCATTATTAGACCATGCTCAAAATGACTTCAGATGTGTTTGTAGTTGAGAAGAAGCCAGTACTAGTGCTGAACAGTTCAAAAAGCAGTACGCATGATTTTCACTCTTTACCAAACGGGAAGTATGAATGACGAAGCTGTCTCTGTGTGATTACGGATACATTTGCTTTCGGTGGGCATTAAAATAAAGTACCAACTCACAAATCGCACAGTGAAGACACTAACATGAGCTTTATTTAAAGGAATTTAAAAGATGACAATTTAAAAGGATGGGGTGCAATTTAATAGTACAGGGCTCGTCTCACATGCATGAAGCTCTGGATTCAATCCCCAAAGTTGTACAAAAATAAACAAGGCAGCCGCTTCTGGATCCGGCCAAGCCAAGCGGCTCTCTGTGAGTGCGCCTGCTTGTCTGATGAGGAAAGTGCAAGCTCCCTTTCCTTCTTTATCTCTTTTCTAACCAGGCCTTCCTTAACATGGGCTGCCCCAACATTTTGGGTTTCTTTACTTTTTCTCTAAAGTTCCACCATGTGGCTGATAGCGGGCCACATGTCTGATCTCCTGCTGGCTCTAAACAGCATGGCTTTATGGCTTTTTTCCCTCTCTCCATTCTCTTCCTAAGCACAGCTACAGAAGTTTTACAGTTTGTCTGCTCCGAGATTCTTCTTTAAATACTAATAAAATTGTCCCGAAGCTTCAATAAATTAATTAAATAACATGATATCCATTTAAATGACACATAAGTAAAATATTTCAAATAATGCAATATAAATATAAACAATTAGGAATTCTGCCAAAATGTATATATTGTCCTAAGAAAAAGTTTTGCTCTCCACAATCAGTTACAATAAAGAACACTACAAGTTCAAAGATGTTTTTAGACAGTTGTTCCCTGTCCAGTATATTTGGAGCAAAATACTGAATTTTGATTTATGCTCTTTCTAATGATTTTTTTGTTCTCTTTTCCAGAGCAACAATACTTTCCCCAAATTGGTCTTGTGTGTGTGGAGTTACACTGAACTAGAACAAAACTTAAATCTATGTTCCAGGTAACACCCACCACTTCCACCAAGGGCAGTGCTTTCCTGCAGTGGGTGTCTCTGCTTCCTTCACAGTGGTGAAGTCCCAATGGGGGCTATGGTACTTTCACTGTTGGTAGAGGATACATACAAGATGCTACATACCTTCACAGGACAGGCCGTGGGAGGTAACTCCAGAAAGACTCTCTCTGCACACATTACAGAAGGTGGGGCGGGCATGGGAGCAGGCGTACCAGTTATGCATCCCTGAGAAATGTTCCACATTAAACTGGGCCACCTAAAAAGGAAACAATCCAGATAGAGTTGCTGAACAAGAGAGCAAGACTACAGACAGAATTATTTGCAATGTGTATGCTGCAGTTAGGAACAAAATTTCAAGCCATTACTCTTATACTCAAGCACTTTGAAGTAAAAACAAAATCTGGCTTGAACAAATTCTAATGAGACTACAAACATTTATTTTTTCACATTATAGAGTTAGCTCTGTGGTTGCTCTAAGTAACGTCTATGCTCTAGGGACCTGGGACAAGGAGGTGCTATTTACCTCATAAGGTTCTCTGGTCTGTACTGACTTCAGAGAGCTGATCCAATCTTCCATCTCCTTTCTGTTCTCAGCACATAGCATCAGCCTTCTGAATGGGGTGATGATCTGAAAGAGAATATTCAATCCGACGATTATTCATAACCAGCAAGTGGGACTTTGCAAAACCCAGCACCTTACAACGAAGTGCCATCTTTACCCTGAGTCCTTATTTCCTTGAAGAAAATAGAAGTCTCTGTAACATGGATGAGCTTTGTTCTGTGTGATATAATATACACCAAGAGTCTTTTCTTGTCTCTGATTCTATGGTTACTTACTGTGCTTTTTAGCTCTTTCTAAAAACTATGTCCACAAATAAAATTACTTCATGAAACATATCTTGAAACTGGTTTTAAATATACTTTGAAGTAAATTGTAATAAGCTTGGAATTAGTATGTGATTTTCAGTATGGAAAATAGCTTTAAAATGAAAATGAAAAAAATGGAATAGTAAATTTCATAATTGATTTACTATGACATCAAGTAAATTCTGTACCAATTAAGTAATACTGAGTTTACATATCATTCCCACTACATATGTGAATATGATTCATACAAAGAATTTTCCCCCTTGCTGTGTAGAAATCTACTGAATTACTGTTTAGTCAGAGCAAAGCAGAAGAATTAACAGAAAATCCTTTAGTTAGATTGAGGTAAGAAAATAACTGTGGCTTTTATCTTTTTCATGACACTAAGAAAAAGGCAAATTAATTGTATTAAGAACCTCAACGCAAACTCAAGCTGTTTTAGCACCAAAAGTGCTCCAAGCAAGCTTCCAAATTGACATTCTCCTTGTAAACACAGGGTCTTAGATGTAGTCTCGAAGCACTTACTGCTTTTATGCCCATTTCCTACCCTTGATTCAAGCACCACTTAGAAAGCCATCCCCATTTACGTCCCGGTGGAACAAGAGCAAAATGCTGCATTCCTACCTAGGAACAATTTCCAAATAATATATCGCATATTTGTTTATATAGCAAATTTGAAAATTCCCCAAGTTCAATCTCTTCATCAAGTAATATACCTAAATACTTCAACACATCTACGCAGTTTTCACAAATGATTAAAAAATAATCTTCTACAAGGAAAAAGGGATTTATTCCCTAAAGAAGAAACTAGTAGACCTAACATTGATCTTAGTAAGTTGCAGCCCCAAGCAACAGAGAAACAAGCCCATGTGAGCCACTCACCAGCTACTGCCTCCCTGCATGTCACTGAACAGGTCCGTCCATAAGCCCAGAAGCTTTTACTACCTCTGACAGGCACTCACACTTAAATAGAGCCAGCCCCAAGTCACATGATATGGGGGCACCAACTGCTTAGCTTGAGTCTTTAATTGCACATGAAATCGAAGACAGCCTCACTTTCGAATTTTCTGGTTTCAAACAACCTTCTTTGAATAAAGCTTATTAGCTGTTGGTCACTTCTCTTCCTGAATAAATAGTTAATGCAAAGAGCAATGCCTCACTCATTACTTAGGAGCCAAATGGATGCTTTATTGCTTCAAAATGTTTTTCTAGGACAGTTCATCAAATGCGGTGGAGAGGTACCATTAAATCATAATACACTCCTGGCTCTTAAGACTCACACAGTGTTCCAGAAATCTCCAAGTTTCAACAGGCTCACTAACATTATTTGAAGAAGTATTGCTCTAGAATTTATTTTATTTCTTGTAAACTATACGGCGTAACTGTCCTGGTAGTTCTCATCACGATTTTATCTTGAGACAAGTATTATTCAGACAAAGAAATCGACTTTGGTACTTCATTCTTCTATTTTGTTCTTTGTGGAGTTCAGGGAAAAGCACAAAAACTAAAGAAAGTTAAAAACTATCTTCAATGCCTTGCTACTGAAACTCTTTTGAAGTCATCGAGAATTCAAAACTCGGGAGAACACACTACAGAATGGCTTCTAAATTTTTCTAGAGATCTTGGAACTCTCCAGATGCTTCAATTATAAATGACTGCAGCAAGACTATATAACTTAGTCACATATATGCCTTAAATTCTAAATAAAAATGCATATATTTGCAATTTCTCCTCTTTAATCAAAACTTGCTTAAGAACAGTAATTTAAAAAAGTAAAGATCATCACACATTTAAAATCAAAAGTTAGGTTTTTCAAAGGCAAAAAGAAAAGTTATGGTTATTTTGATGTTCAGGTCTTGTCATTAATCATAGGAACCTACTGATTGTAAAGTCACACTATAAGAAGTCAGTGTGATAAAAGAAATCAATTCCTCATAAATCATGCGATGCCAAGATGTCTGGCTTTGAGGCTGCAGTGCTAAAAGCCCACAGAGTCTAGGCTAAGTTAAGCTTGGCACAGCCAGCAAACCTGCAGCCTCCAAAGCTGGCCCCTTCCCTCAGCTCATTCTTCTGCAGGCATTACGTGCTCTCCCAATAGCCTGTATGGGAAAGAACCCTACGTGATAGGGCTGACCCCCAGGCTCTGGCTATCCTCTCGCTGAGTTCCGTCAACACAGCCTAGTTCAAATTTTATTAGGGAAACGTGAGAAAGAGCAAATTCTGAAAATAATTTGGTTCTTACATTGAAAGTTTATCTGAATGAGCACAACTGTCAATACGCCCAATTGTGACCATGTTTAGTGTTCAGGATCTCAGATTCCTTATTATAATGAGCAGTATAGGGCTAATGGGAAGCAAAAATTCTTTCACCATATGAAGAGGATTTCCTCCTAAATTTGTTGGGGGGGTCGGGGGTGGGGGGAGTTGGAGCAAGTCCAGGAAGTTTCTGGAACCAGAGGATATGTTACCTTTCTCAAAGGATCTGAAGCTTTCCCATCCTAAACTGTCCCCTGTCCCCTGTCTGTAGTTCTCTTCCTGTACCCCAATATGCAGAAATAATTGTATTCAGGCACATTTAATTAGTGTTTATGACAGCCCTGTAGACCTGGAACATAACCTGTGTGCTGGTCTATTAAAGCAGTTACTGAGTATGTATTGAATGCTAGGGCCAGGGAAGAAACGCAGGGCTTTGTCCCAAGTCTGAGAGGGAGACAAGTAAACCACGGATATACTTGTCTGGAAAACTGCCAGACTACCAAGGGATGACATCTGAATTACTTTCCTAAATGGTACCTAAGATCATATACAAACTTTCCATTAGTAGGTACTGGTTCACATTGAGGGCCACTGGCAAAAAGATCAATCCAACCACAATATTATTCATTTCTAACAATCAAGAATTTCTCAGTCTGGCCAAGTATGGTGACTCTTGTAATCCCAGAAACTGGGAGGCTGAGGCAGAAAAGATGTTTTGAGTTTGAGGCCAGCCTGGATTATGCAGTAAATTCTCAGCCAAGCTGGTTTACAGAATGAGACCCTGTCTCAAAAAAAACCAAATATTAAAAATAAATAAATAAAAATTCTATCTGATAAAGTACTAAAGCACTAAATGTAAAAATCCTTTACAATGGTAACACTGTGGTTGCACTTTACATTAATGTGCTCTAGCAAAATGAAACAAAGAAACCAGATACATAGCCAAATACAACTGGCAAAGGAACTACCAAACAATTTAATTCTTTTGGTTGTTGTTTATTGGGAGGTGTTTTGGGGGGTTTTGTTTGTTTTGTTTTGTTTACAGACAAGGTCTTCCTGTAGCCTCAGCTTCCCTGGAACTTACTATGTGGACAAGGCTGGCCTCAATCTCACAATAATTCACCTGCCTCTGCCTTCTGAGTGACGGGATTAAAGGCATGTGCCACCACTTGCTGGCTTGTTCATTACAATTTTTAAAGGAAATACATAGTACTTCTGTAATAAAAATATCATTTGGGGGAGCTGGAGAGATGGCTCAGCGGTTAAGAGCACTGATTGCTCTTGCAGAGGACCTGTGTTCAATTCCCAGCACCCACGCGGCTACGAACCATCCTTAACTCCAGTTCCAGGGGAATCCGAAGCCCTCTTCTGACCTCCGCGGCACTGCACGACACAGGTGCACTCACATACATGCAGGCAATACACTCATACACATAAAATAAAAATAAAGTATTATTTTTTAAATATCTTTTTTTTTCTTTTACTGGTCAAAAGATGGAGGTTTAGAATATAAAAATATGGAGGGAGGTTTAGGTGTGGAGAGGAATGGGAACATAGGGCAGAGGCAAGGGTGGGGGAAGGGATAACACAAAGGATGCTTGAAAAAGCTATTTGGAAACATACTTTATAAGGTATATATAGTCATATAAAGGAGTTTAATTGGAATTGCCCTACACAGGGGATAATGCTCCTCCAAGTCATTGGTTTCCAGATAAAAACCCAATGCCAAGTACGGAATATCTCCTCTGGAGATGTTGGTCAGAGGTTTCCTAGCAAAAAAACCCAAAAAACAAAGCAAAAACAAAAACAAAAACAAAGACAAACAACACAGGCTACTGCCATTGCTCTTGGTTGCCCACCAGAACGTGATGAAAAGACCCTACTCACTGGGGCTGGAGAGATGGCTCAGTGGTTAAAAGCACTGGCTGCTCTTGCAGAGAATCTAGGTTCAGTTCCCTGAACCCACATGGCAGCTAACAACTGTTCATAATTCCAGTTCAAAGGGATCAGATATCCTTTTCTGGCCTCCACGGACACTTCATGACACAGGTACACTTACATACATTCAGGAAAAACACTCATATACATAAAATAAAAATAAATGTATAAGTAAATACCAAATGAATTAAAAAAAAAAACCCACCCTATTGCCAAAACATGACACATTTTGGTCACAAGACATGGAAAAATCAAGTTGATAATGACCTGAAAGCTTCTCCCTTGCTATCTAGCTTTTACAGCACCAGAGGTATATGTAGACTGATGGGGGGAAAGTTATCAAGTCTTACCCAGCTGTGAATCCTGTGAACTACAATAAAGACTGGCATGACAAGATGCAATAGTGGCACGAATGTTATGAGAGCAACCAGCTGCTTTCAGGATGAACTTAAGGCCAGATCCACAGACTGAAATGCATGCCACATATTATAAGTGCCAAGAACCCATGGTTGGGGAGCTCACTTACTGCTACTGTTCTACTAAACGGACATAGTGTCAACCTGCCCT